GTCAAACGAATACTCTGCCTGTGCCGCCCTAGAACCTAAGTGCGCGCGAAGCGTGCGCGTGGTTCTAGTGTGTATATATATATATGTATATATGTGCAGAAATGCATACAAACAGATGGCGAGAGAGAGAGAGAGAGGGTGCGTGTGTATGGTTTCTGCATGTGCGTCCATATCGAAGACGCCTACGGCGAATCACCGCTGCTCCCTGTCTTTCGAACTCGCCCATGGGGCCGGGCGTTGTGGCAAGAACTCTGCCAAGCTATCGGGCCGTGTGTTCCCCCACCCGTTGTAGAAACCCGTCGGGAAACATTTGGGGGAGGACGTCGGGGAATATCAAGAGGGGGAGGAATGGGAGGAGGAGGAGGAGGAGGAGGAGGAGGAGGAGGAGGAAGAGGCGGAAGAGGAAGAGGACGAGGGGAGGGAGAGGAGGAGGAGAAGGAGGAGGAGGAGGAGGAGGAGAAGGAGGAGGAGGAGGAGGACGAGGGCGAGGACGAGAACGAGGATGAGGACGAGGACGAGGACGAGGAGGGAGGAGGTAGGAGGAGGTAGGAGAAGAAGGAGGAGGGAGGAGGGAGGGAGGAGGAGGGGGGAGGACGAGGAGGAGGACGAGGAGGAGGAGGAGGAGGAGGAGGTGGAGGAGGAAGGGAGGAGGAGGGAGGAAGTGGAGGAGGAGGAGGAGGAGGAGGAGGAGGGAGGAGGAGGAGGAGGAGGAGGAGGAGGAGGAGGAAAAGGAGGGAGAGGGAGGGCAGGAGGAAGAGGAGGATGAGGAGGAGGAGGAGGAGGAGGAGAAGGAGGAAGAGGAGGAGGAGGAGGAGGAGGAGGAGGACGGGGGGGTGCATATTGGGAGCCTTTGGGGGCACTCTTGGGGCCTCTTGGGAGCTTCCTAGGAGCCTCTTGGAGGCATCTTGGGGGCCTTCCTGGGGCCTTTGGGGGGCCTTTCGGAGCTTCTTGGGTTCCTTTTGGCTGTCTTAGGGCATTCCTGGCCCGTCTGACGCTGTCAGAAGCCGTCTTGGGGGCCTCTCTTGGCCGACGTGGGGCCCTCTTGGTGTGCTCCAGGGCAGTCTTGGAGGCCATCTTTGACGTCTTCGAGGCTTCTTGGGGCCTTCTTGGGGCTGTCTTGGGGGCCTCTTGGGACGTTGCGGGGCCATCTTGAAGGCCTCTTAGACGATCCTGGGCCGATCGTTGGGGGCTCTTGGGCCGTCTCGGGCCGTCGGAAGACCGAAAACAAGCAACTGCCAATAGTCTTCAAACACCTAAGGCAAATCAATGATGTTGGCCTCTTCGGGTCTTCCTGGAGGCCCTCTTGTGGGCCTCTTGGGCCGTCTTGGAGACCCCTGGAGGGTTTCTTGGGCCGTCTTGGGCCATCGTCGAGCCATTTGGGGCCGTCTTGATGGTCTCCTGGCCCGTCTGACGCTGTCGGAAGCCGTCTTGAGGGCCTTTCTGGGCCGACGTGGGGCCTTCTTGGGGTGCTCCAGGGCCGTCTTGGAGGCCATCTCGGGCGTCTTGGAGGCCTCTTGGGCAATATTGGGGCCCTCTTGGGGCCGTCCTGAGGGCTTCTTGGGCCGTTCTGGAGCCATCTTGGAGCTCGCTTGGGCGATCTCGGGGCGATCTTGGAGGCTCTTGGGCCGTCTCGGGCCGTCGGAAGTCCGCACAGACGCAAGTGTCAAAAACCGTCAAACACCGAAGGCCAATCAATGACGTTGGCCTCTTCGGGCCTTCTGGAGGGCCTCTTGGAGGCCTCTTGGGCCGTCTTTGAGACCTCTTGGTGGCCTCCTGGGCCGTCTTGGGCCATCTTGGAGCCATCTTGGGCCGTCTTGGTGGCCTCCTGGCCCGTCTGACAAGGCGGGAGCCGTCTTAGGGGGCCTCTTTGGGCCATCTGGGTCTCCTTTGGGGGCGCTTCCGGGCCGTCTTGGAGGCCATCTTGGGCGTCTTCGAGGCCTCTTGAGCCGTCTTGGGGCCCTCTTGGGGCCGGGGCCGTCTTAGGAGCCTCTGGGGCCGCCTTGGAGGCCGAAAGGGCCAGCTTGAAACGATCTCGGGGCTTCTTGGGCCGTCTCGGGCCGTCGGAAGACCGATAAGAAGCAAATGCCAATCAAGTTGCAAAATCCTTTTTGGAAAATCAATGATGTTGGCTTCTTCGGGGACGTCTTGGAGGGCTCTTGGGCTGTCTTGGAGGCCTCTTGTGTACTTCTTGGGCTCTCTTGGACCATGTTGGAGACTTCTTGGGCGGACTTGGAGGCATCTTGGACCCTCTTTGGCTGTCTGGGAGTCCATAACTGACCATCTTGAGCGAACTTCGAGGCCATCTCAGGCCATCTGAGCCGTCTTAGAAGCCATATTGGGCCATCTTGCAACGGGAACAGCAAGCATTGACAAGTACATTTTTGGTGCGTTTCCGGGTGGCCGGCGGGACGGGCCGAAGCCCCAGGGGAGCGCTCTTTTGGACAAAGAACCAAAAGAACAACTGGTAGGGTCTAGCATGCTGGGCACCCTTGTGGCAAGACCGCAGGGGGCGTCGGATCGAAGACGCCTACGGCGAACCACCGCCGCCCTCTATCTTTTTTGAAGCGCCTATGTGGCCGAACGTTGAGGCCAGACCTGCCAAGCTATCGGACCATGTGTTCCCCGAATCGGTTTGGAAAGCCTTCGGGGAACACGTGTGCATCTTGAAGGTCATCTTAGCCGTGTGGAGGCCATTTTGACCCTTTCGGGCCTTCTTGGAGGACGTCTTGGAGGGCTCTTGGGACGTCTTGGAGGCCACTTTGATCGTGGAGGCCTCTTGGGCTGGCGTGGGGGCCTCTTAGGCCGTCTTGGGGGCATCTTGGGCGATCTTTGGGGGCACTTGGGCCGTCTCGGGCCGTCGGAAGGCAGAAGAAATAACAAATGCCACAATCCTTCACAAACTAATGGCAAATCAATGATGTTGGCCTCTTCGGGTCTTCCTGGAGGCCCTCTTGGGAGCCTCTTGGGCCATCTTAGGGCCATCTTCGGCAGTTTTGGTGGGCTCCTGGCCTGTCCGACGCCGTCGGAAGCCGTTTGGGGGGCCCCTCTGGGCCGACTTGGGGCCCTCTTGGAATGCTCCAGGGCCGTCTTGGAGGCCATCTTGGGCGTCTTGAAGGCCTCCTGGGCCGTCTGGGGGGCCTCTTGGGGCCGTCTTGGGGGCTTTTTGGGCCGTTCTGGGGCCATCTTGGAGGCCTCTTGGGCGATCTTTGGGCGATCTTTGGGCGCTCTTGGGCCGTCTTGGGCCGTCGGAAAGCCGAAAAGGAGCAAATGTCAAAATCCTTCAAAAACGTAAGGAACATCAATGTTTGTTTGCATTTCTTCTTGCCTTCCTGGAGGCCCTCTTGGAGGCCTCGTGTGCCGTCTTGGGCCAGCTTCGAGCCACCTTCGGCCATCATGGTGGGCTCCTGGCCCGTCTGACGCCGTCGGGAGCCGTTTGGGGGGCCTCTCTGGGTCGACTTGGGGCCCTCTTGGGGTGCTCCAGAGCCGTCTTGGAGGCCATCTTGGGCGTCTTGGAGGCCTCTTGGGTCGTCTTTGTGCCCCCTTGGGGCCGTCTTGCGGGCCTCTTGGGCAGTCCTGAGGCCATCTTGGAGGCCTCTTGGGTGCTGTGGGGGCGATCTTGAGTGCATCTTGGGCCGTCTTGGGTCGTCGGAAAGCTGAAAAGAAGCAATTGCCGAAATCCTTCAACAACCTAAGGAAAATCAATGAATTTGGCCTCTTCGGGCCCTCCTGGAGGACCTCTTGGAGGCCTCTTGGGCCGTCTTGGATGCTTCTTGAGCGAACTTGGAGGTATCTCGGACTCTCTTAGGCCGTCTTGGAGGCAGTCTTGGACCATCTTGGGCGGACTTGGAGGCTATCTTGGAGGCCATCTTGGGCCAACGTGGCCATCTTGGAGGCCATCTTGAGCCGTCTTGGAGGATTTTTTGTGGACGCTGAGGTGGTTTACGCGGCCTTCCGGGACCTCGGACCCCGGCGGAACGCGCCGAAACCCCAGGGGGAGTTTTTTGGGAAAATGAACAAAATCCAAAACCGAAAGGATCCAGCACGCCAGGCACCCTCGTGATGAATCAACAGGGGGCGGCGGATCGAGTAGCCTTCGGCCCATCCCGCCACCGTGCCTGGGTGGGGTCAGAGTTCGAAGGTATGCTTCTTCAGCTCTCTTCGGAGCGCTCTCGGGGGCCTCTCGGGAGCAGTTTATGGGCCTGTTGGGAGCTTCGTGGGGGCCTCTTGGGAGCCTCTTGGGGGCATTTAGGTGCCTCTTTGGGCCTCCTGGAGGCCTCTCGGGGCCGAGGGCTCGAAATGTCCGCTCGGGTTCCATATCTGCGCCCCCTCTTGGGGCCGTCTTGGGCCCTCTTGGGCCGTCTTGGGGCCCTCTTCGGGGCCTTTGGGACCGTCTTGGGACGATCTTTGGGGCCTCTTGGGTTACTTTGGAGCGTCGGGAAGTCGACAAGGCGAGAACGCCGAAATCCGGCTGATGCCTAAGGAAAGTCAATGATTTGTGCCTCTTGGGGCCCTCCTGGCAGTGCTCTTGGATAGTTCTTGGAGCGTTTGGAGGCTATCTTGGGCGTCTTAGAGCGATCTTTCGTCGACGCTGGGCCCTCTTCGACGATCTTGGCGGCCTCCCTGGGCGGTCTTGGCCCGTTTGGGGGATCTCCTGGGCGAGGGGATCGCCCCGGAGGCCCACACGCAACACCCCGCGAGCGCCCGAGAGCTCCCAGAAGCGCCCGGAAGCGACCGGGAATTTCGTGGTCCTGGCCCTTAAAAACTTACAAATCTTGGGGCGCTCCACTAAGTGTCCAAGGCACGGTGGCGGACACATGTGGAGAGAGGTGCACACTGAAACAGATAGAGAGAGAAAGAGAGAGAGAGAGAGAGGAGAGAGAGAGAGAGAAAGAGAGAGAGAGAGAGAGAGCGAGAGAGAGAGAGAGAGAAAAAGGGAGAGAGAGCGAGAGAGCAAGAGAGGAAGTGAGGGACAGAGAACGAAGGATCGGCATTGGATGGAGGTATTGGGAAGACCCACACGAAGTGGTCCCCAGTGTGCACTGCCTCCTACCGCTTGGTGCCGGTTATCGAGCTGTCGAGACCAGTGGTGGGAGATGACGCAGTGCACCTCAAGGAGGCCAGAGGGATCCTTTGCCGAGAGAGTGCGCACCACTTTTCTCCACTCTCCTTCCTTCCGCCTCCTCACGCGAGTGATGTACAGTGGATACCCATGCCAAGAAACACCCTGCTTGCCTCCAGGCTGCCCTGCGTTTCTTGGGTTTCGATGGTTTCGCTATGGAAATCTTGACCTTCCCACACCAAAAATCAACGGACGTCCTGGGGTCTCAGGGTTGGGTTTCTTGTGGAAGGTTTCTCGTGGACTGGCCAGCCTGTTCCTTTTCGTCGTTCGCATGACTCCATGCTTGTTGCGAAGGCCTTTCTGACAGTGCCGCCGACCATGAATGGCAGACGACGACGGCGACGACGAAAAGCAGCCCGAATCTTCCGGAATTTTATTGTCTTACCCTCTCGGGGTTGTCTTGGCGGTGCTCTTGGGCCTTCTTGGGCCTCTTGGGGGCCTCTTGAGGGCTTCGTGGGCATCTCTTGGGGCCTCCTGGGGGCCTCACGACTACATGTTTATCTACGGCCTTGGTCGCGGCCTCCTAGCTCTCGGCCTCGGTCACAAACAGTTCCTCCGCAACTGCACATCGCGCCCGCGGGCTCGCCGCTGCAAGCCAGGCGCCCAGCAGGGTGCCGCGGGCTTCCAGGCTGCCACCTTGGGCGGAGCCCGCCCCTTGCCACGGCCTTTGCTGAAGTCGGGCATCTCCTTTGGCAGGAGGAATATTCAAGAATAGTCCAAACCTAGGCTGGGGACACTTTTCGTGCTTTTGTGATAATGTTTGATTATCCGTAAGGGCTTCGCCCCCTGCAGCTGGCCCCCTCATCTATCATAATGGGATATATCAGAGTCGCGTCGGTGCGTCTCGGTGCTGCCTTCGCGCATCTGGGAGCATCATGGGGGGGCGGATATAAATCATCAGCGCATATTGCGACGTTGTCGTTATCGAGGACGCCTACGGCGAATCACCGCCGCCCCCTGCTTTTTGGGGAAGCGTTAATGTGGCCGAGAGTCGAGCTAGAGCTAGGCCAAGCTGTCGGCCCATGAGTTCCCTGAGTCGGTTGGGAAAGCTTTCGGGGAACAAGTGAGGGATATTGAACATGACGAGAAAAAAGAAGAGGAAGAGTAGGAATATTATGTTTCTCAGGGGTCTTTTGGGCCACCCTTAGGGCCTGCTGTGAGCTTCTTTGGGGCCTCTTCGAGGCCTCTTTGCGGCCTCCTTGGGCTTGCTGGAGGCCTTTGGAAGCTTCTTGGGGGCCTTTCTGAATCGACTTCTGGCCCTCTTGGAGTGCATCATGGCCGTCGTGGCGGCCGTCTTGGGCCCCGGGCGAAGCGTTTCCCGAGTCATTTTGACAGTTTTTCGGGGAACGCATGGAGGAAGACGAGAATGAGGAGAGGGATGGGAAAGAACGAAGAGGACGAAAAACAAGAGGATGAAGAGGAAGATTTCTTCGTCCTTGCCTTTCTCATATAAGTATATGTGTTGCACACTGTTATTTAGCTCGCTCTTCCGTAGATGCACGCGGGCTCAAGTTTCCATTATTGCTTTTATTGCGGACGAGACGGCCCGACGTAGCTCGATGACGAGATCCGGTGCGCCGTGCCCACATCATTTCAGAATCTCACATGTCGCGCTGCGCCACCAGCAGTGGCGGCGCTCATTGGGGAGTTGAAGCGCAGGAAGGAAGCGCATATATTTTTAGTTCCGAGTACTCGTTGCTGCTATTGCCTCGGCGACAAGGACGAGGCCAGGCGGCTACATGACGCGGGCATGCAACGTTGCGAGGGCATGCTACATCGCGAGGAATGCCTGGAAACATGCGTGGGGGATTGGTGGGGGGCAGGCCTGGCGCGCGATTGCATTGCCGGCGAAGCGGCCGAAGGGGGGGAGGTGGAGGTGGCCGACGTAATGCCATGATTGCTTATGGAGAACGAGGCGCGCAGGGATAATTGCGCATTGCGTGCGCAAGGCGAGTCCAGACCATGCGTTCTACTCAACAATCCATCGCGCGCCGCGGGCAGAGCCCGCGCCCTGGGATGGGGGCGCCATGGCGGCAGCCTTGGCGGCGCACGCCCGTCGCTTGCCTGAGCTCGGGAAGCCGGCCGCAGATCTCTCATCGTTGGCAGCCGCGTGGGTGACGCCCGAAAGTCGGTCGCTCGTGAAATATTTTCCGAAGCCCCGATGAAGGCGTTCGAGTGGGAGGAACGGCGCGTGGCCAATCCTTGGGAAATGGCCAGGTTGCGCCGCCCCCATGGAGACCATGCCACGGGCCCGCTGTTCGCCTCGTCGGCAGTCTGCGGGACGTGCCGCGAACGACATCCATATGTGGACGCAGTCGGCGGAGTTATGCATTTCGACCCAGTATGCTTGGGGTGCCCCATTCCGTCGCGCTCCAAATGCGGGGGCCGATCCTGGTCGCGCGTCGAAGTGGAGAGTCGCATGTGGTCGCGCACTGACAGCGCGCTTGGGATCGGCGCCCCCCTGTGCGATTCGGATGAGAAGAAGCCCGGGCAGCTCTGCGATACCTGCGCGAGCGAGAGGCTTTGCAGGAAATGCGGGGGCGATCTACCGCTGGGCGCTTTTGACAAGCGCCGCGCCGAATGCGAGAACTGCCGGGCGAACCTGGGCCTGAAGGATTTGCGGGGGCGCAAGGGTTGCGACAAATCGTTGGGGACCTCTGCTTTCAGTCAGCGCGGCAACTGCGCGCGTCGCAAGAAGTGCAACCGGCGCAAGAGGAGAGCCGAGCGCCCGCGGAAGGGATGACCCGACAGCGCGCGACGCGGCGTTCGACGCGTCGCAGGGCGCCAGGACGTCCCGTTCAGCGCCGTGCCTGGCACCGCCGCGGCGCGGCGCCCTTCGCGCCGCGGGGCGCAGGCGTCCCCGGCGCAGGGCCATTCCCGAAGCCGCCGCGCCAGCTTCCGCGCGGACACTACGGGGCCCGCGTGCGCGACGCGGGCCCCGACGCGTCAGGGGGCGCCGGGGTGCCCCGCGCGGGTTCATGCCCGGCGCCGCCGCGGCGCAGCGCCTCGCGCGTCGTCAGACAGCGTTTTCAGCGTGGCACATGCCCAGAGCTGCCGTGCCATGTCACGCGCTGGCACGCGCGCTTTACACTTAACAGCGAAGACTGATAGGTCTCTAGCGGGCTCAAAAGAGAGCATCTGGACTCCGCAGGGGGTCTGGGCGGATGCCGGGGAGAATCGCTCCTCGGGGCCCCCCAGGAGGGTTTGGGCGGGTGCCGGGGAGGATCTGGGGACTCCCCAGAACACCACTCCCAGGCCACATTATTTTGAATGCCCGGGGCCAATTGTAGGCCACTTCGTGTTCTTCGTGTTCCCAGAACACCGTTCCCGGGCCACATTTCGCATGCCCGGGCCCAACTGCAGGCCACTTCGTGGTCTTCCCAGAACACAACTCCCAGGCCACATTTTGAATGCCCGGAGCCAACTGTAGGCCACTTCGTGATCTTCGTGTTCCCAGAACACCATTCCCAGGCCACATTTTGAATGCCCGGAGCCAACTGCAGGCCACTTCGTGTTCATCGTGTTCCCAGAACACCACTCCTGTACCACATTTTGATTGCCCAGAGCCAACTACTGTGGGCCACTTCGTGATCTTCGTGTTCCCAGAACACCAGTCCTGCGCCATCGTTTGAATGCCCGGGCTGAGGCAGGCTGAGGCTGAGGCTGAGGCTGAGGTAGGCTGAGGCCGAGGCTGACGCAGGCTGAGGCTGAGGCAGGCTGAGGCTGAGGCTGAGGCAGGCTGAGGCTGAGCAGGCTGGGACTGAGGCAGGCTGAGGCTGAGGCCGAGGCACGCTGAGGCTGAGGCTGAGGCTGAGGCAGGCCGAGGCAGAGGCTGAAACTGAGGCAGGAAAAGGCATCCGTAGGAATCCTTAGGATTCCATAGGAATCCGTAGGCATCCTGAGGCTGAGGCTGAGGCTGATGCAGGCTGAGGCTGAGGCTGAGGATTCCATAGGCAGGCTGAGGCTGAGGCTGAGGCTGATGCAGGCTGAGGCTGAGAGGCTGACGCTGAGGCAGGCTGAGGCTGAGGCCGAGGCAGGCTGAGGCTGCGGCGAGCCGAGGCAGGCTGAGGCTGAAGCTGAAGCTGAGGCAGGCTGAGACTGAGGCTGAGGCTGCGGCTCAGGCAGGCTGAGGCCGAGGCTGATGCAGGCTGAGGCTGGGGCAGGCTGAGGCTGAGGCTGAGGCAGGCTGAGCCTGAGGCTGAGGCTGAGGCAGGCTGAGGCTGAGGCCGAGGCAGGCCGAGGCCGAGGCTGAGACTGATGCTGAGGCAGGCTGAGGCTGAGACAGGCTGAGGCTGAGGCAGGCTGAAGCTGAGGCAGGCTGAGGCTGAGGCCGAGGCAGGCTGAGGCTGAGACAGGCTGAAGCTGAGGCTGAGGCTGAGGATGAGGCCGAGGCAGGCCGAAGTTGAGACAAGGTGCGGCTGACTGAGGGGGGGGAGGGGGGGGGGGGGGAAGGGGGAAGGGGGGCTGGGGCAGGCCGAGGCCGAGGCCGGCTGAGGCCGAGGCAGGCTGAGGCTGGGGCTAAGGCAAACCGAGGCAGGCTGAGGCTGAGGCTGAGGCTGAGGCTGGGGCTGGGGTGAGGCAGGCTGAGGCCGAGGCAGGCTGAGGCTGAGGCTGACGCAGGCTGAGGCCGAGGCAGGCTGAGGCTGAGGCTGAGGCTGAGGCTGAGGCAGGCTGAGGCTGAGGCCGAGGCACACTGAGGCTGAGGCTGAGGCTGAGGCAGGCCGAGGCAGAGGCTGAAACTGAGGCAGGAAAAGGCATCCGTAGGAATCCGTAGGAATTCTTAGGATTCCATAGGAATCCGTAGGCATCCTTTGGAAGCCGTAGGCATAGTTAGGCATCCGCAGGAATCCTTAGGAATCCGTCGAATTCCTTAGGAATCCTTCGGAATCCTTAGGAATCCCTAAGAATCAGGATTCCTAAGGATTCCTAAGGATGCATCGGATTCCTATGGGTCCCCAAGGATGCCTAAGGATGCCTTCGGAATCCCGCGGAATCCTTAGGATGCCAGTGGATCCTAAGGCCGCTGCCATTGCGACTGTCATTGCGAATGCGATTGCGATTGCGAGAACAGCAGAATTCGACAACTGGATTCTCACTTGAATATCCAGGGGAATGCTTCAAGATCTGCTTATATACATCGCTGTTAGGTTGCTTTGCCCGGATAATATGTTTAAAAGTCCCAAAGAGTTGTCGCGCGGAGAACCCTTCCATCATTGGCGCCGACGTCGTCGCTGGCATCGTCGCCGTCGCGGCGCCGCCTGTTTCGTCGCTTTTGCGATTTGCGCGTCGCCCGACGCCCGCGCGGACATGCGCGGGGGCAAGGTGCAGCCGCGGCACTTTGAGCGGCGCCACGGTCGCGCCGCAGCGGAGGTGGAGGCGCGCGTCCAGGACGGGCTGATCACCCCCGTGAAGCCGCGCTGGGGCCCGAAGCTCTGCGCCTCGCGCTCGGTCCTCTCCGCGCTGCTGAAGGACCTGCTGGCGCGCGGGCTGGGCGGGCTGCGGACCTCCATCCGCGCCCGCGTCGCGCTGTTCTTCCGCGCCAAGGAGGGCGGCTCGCAGTGCGTGGTCGTCGCCGCCCGCGAGGCAACCAGCTCTTGCAGGGCCCCCCCCCCCGCGCGCAGCTCGGGGGCCCAGGTGCCCTCCGCGACCTCGACCTTAGCGACGCCGCCTTCGAGGCTGCAGGCTGCAACCCGCGGGCCGCGGACATCCACGTCGCCAGCCTGGATTTGTGCCGGGGTTTCTACCAGTGCCGCGCCAGGCAGCTCGCGCGGCGGTTCGGCACGGAGTTTGCTTTCGCGGCCCGCGAGCGGGGCGTCGCCTCCTGCTGCGACGAGGGCGCCGCGATGGAGCTCCCCGTCGATGGCGACGCCGCCCTCTACTTTGTCATGGAGGTGCTCTGCAGGGGCTTGCGCTGGTCACTCTACTTCTGCCAGTCGATCATGGAGGGCGCTGCGCTCTGCGGCGGGCCTGCGGGCCTTTGCCCCCGGTCGCCCCCTGCTACCGCTGGGCGGCCTGCTGCGCGAGGGCGCCCCCGCGCCCTTGGTCGCTCCTGGACATCCCGCTTTCTCGGTGCACGTCGACGGCGGCGCTGTGATCGGCTTCCACCGCGACGACGCGCAGCGCGGCCTGGGCCGCTACCTCGCGCGGCTGGAGGAGATGGATTTCGTCGTCCACGACGTCGAGCCTGCCCAGACCGAGCTCACCCTTGTCGGCTTGTGCTTTCTGCGGGGGGCCCTGCTCCAGTTGCTCCTCGCCGAGAAGTACACCTGGCTGCTGCAGCAGGTCGGCTGCCCTGGCGTCGCGCTCCAGCGTGTCGTCGGGCACCTCGTGCATCGCTTCCGCCTGATGCCGCGGGGCTTGTCTGCCCTGGGCCACTGCGATCGCTTCTTGCAGCGTTATGGCCGTCGCGAGTGGGGCTGCTTCAGCGATGCCCTCGACGCCGAGCTTCGCGTCCTCAAGGGCCTCGTGAAGCTCGTCGACGTGGACCTTGCAGCGCCGCGGGCGATTGCGGTGCTCTGGGGGCAGCTCGACCTTCGGCTGCTCGCTCTCCTTCACGCGCGCGGCCCCCTCCGACATCCTGGACGCCGATCGCCCGCGCGAGCGCTGGAGGTTCAAGATCGAGGAGGCCAACCTCGCGGACGCGTCCGGCGTCGGCGACCGCGTTGCGGCGCACGCCCCGCACTTGGCCGCCGAGTTTGGGTCGCTCGGCTTGGGCGTCGCCGGCATCGCGGAGCAGGCAGGCCCGCCTCGCGCGCGGCCCCCTTCCCTGCCCCGCCGGCGCCGGGCGCCCTGCCGCGTGGTCGAGGCCTCGGGCGCTTTCCACTCGCTGGGCGACGCCTGCACTGACCCCAACCGCTGGCTCAACATCGCGAAGGGCGGCTGGGCCTACCACAACGCCACCCACATGAAGGAGGCGCGGGTCGCGCTGATGCAGCTTCGGCGGGCCGCCCGTTGCTCCGCCATTCACGGCGTGCGGCTGCTGGGGCTCGCCGACAACCTGAGCGCGCTCCTTGCCTTCATGTAGGGCCGCGCCTCGGACTTCTGGCTGCGGCCCATGGTGCGTCAGGCGGCGGCCATCGCGATCGGCGCCGAGATCGCCTGGCACCTCATGCGCATGCAGAGCGCGCGCAATTGCACGGACTGCGACTCCCGAGCTGCTGATCGCGGAGAGGTCGGCCTGGGAGAGACCACCCCGGGGGCCACCCGGGCCTGCCGGCTCGCGCTCGACTCGGCCGGGTGGACTCGTCCCAGAGGGGGAGTGCGAGGGAGCGGACTGGCCCTCGCCCGCGCCCCGCCAGGTCCCGCTGCTGCACCCGCTGCTGTTCGGCGGGCGCGCCGAGAGCGGGCTGCCGCAACGCCTGGGCTTCTGTGCCCGCAAGCGACCGCCGTCTCCTGCGTGGCTCGTCGCCCCTCCGCAGCCCTTGCCCAGCTCCGTCTGGCCTGCCGCGCGAGGCGACGGGGCTGCCGTGTCTACTGCATCTCCTAGGCGGCCGCCCCGGCGGCGCGCCTTGCCGCTCCCCGGGCCAGCGACGGGCGCCCGCCGACGCCCGTCAGAGCGCCCTCCTCCAATGCACGCACCTCGCACAGCGCAACGAGTTCGGGCGTTCGTGGAGGTCTACTCGGGCACCAGCAGGCTCTCGTCGGCCCTCGCTGGGTCTGGTCTCCGAGTCATGCCCCCTACTGCGACGCGCGCTCTTGGAAGACGCCCCGGGTTCTGGAAGGCCGGCGACGTGATGAGACTGTTTGGCGGGTGCATCTTGGGGCGCCATGTACGACCAGAAGCGCAGCGCGTCACGGACCCCTCTCTCCAGCCGGGGCTCTGCGTGCCGCTCGGGGCGCCCGTTTCGCCAGAAGGCGCGTCAGTTTGTGCCGGCGGCCGGGCATCTATTGGACGATCGAGAACCCGCTGCGCTCAGCGCTGTGGGATCATCCTCTCGTCCGTCCTCTCAAGTTGCCTCAGTCGGTCTTCGTTGATTTAGATATGTGCGAGTTCGGTGCTCACTATCGGAAACCCACTGGCCTCTTGGGTGCGCCCCCTGGTCTCAGCCAGTTGCATCGCTGTTGTCAGGGTGGCCACTATCACGACTTCTTGGAAGGGAAAATCTACGCGGTGCCTCCGTCGAGCCCCCAGACCACGGCAGCCTCTGCCCCGCGCGCCGCGGCTCGGCCGGCTCGAGCGGCCTGGCGCACCGCCCTTGCGGGCGCCTACCTTCCAGGCACCTGCCGCGCCTGGGCCGCCATCTCCGCCGGGGCGGCACCCCGCGGCGCGCGGCTCGGCGCGGCCGAGGGCGGCAACTCAGTGGGGCGCGGCCAGTGGCACGCTGCGCTACAGCCGACCGCTGGGCTCGGCGCCGGCCCCCTCGGACCTCGGCTCGACCCGCCCCCCGCCGACGGCGTCCGCGAGTGGCCCTTGGGAATCGGGGCCCGGTGAGGCCGCGACCGCCGCCGGGTCTCGCCGCGGGCGCCCGCGTCGGGCCATGGCTCGGCCGCCGGCCAAGCGGGCCCCGAGGGCGGCGGCCCGCGCCGCCCGCGCGGGCAAGCGGCAGGCGGCGGCGAAGGCGACCCCTGTCCGAGCGTCCGCCTCCCGCCAGCACCACCTGAGGACCGAGAGCGTCACGGCCAAAACCGCTGCCGTTCACGAGAACTGGCATCGGCGCGCAGTCCGCTTCACGGCCGAGCGCTGCCCGCCGACCTCGCAAAGCTCGACGAGATCCTGAAGGCGTTCATCACGGAGCTGTACTTCGACGGCGAGGCCGTCAGCGCCGGTCGCGCGATGCTGGCGGCGGTCGCGTTCAGCCTAAACCTCGGCTTCGGCGGCAAGGGCGCCCCGCAGCGACTGCAAGAAGCGCAGCTTGCGTGGCGCAACGCGGTGCGCATCGAGTTCATGCACAGCGCCTGCGCGAGGGCGCCAGCGGCGCAGGGCCGCATGGCCGTAGCGGCGCGCCTGGCCGTAAGGGGCGGCGCCATGATTGCCGCAGGGGTTGAGGAATGGGAGACGTATGAGTTTGATGCGTATGAGGCCGCAAGGGGCATCTTAGCCACCATGACGAACGATCCTCAGAATCCAGTCTCCCGCTACTACGAAAGACAGCTGAGCCTATGGTCGAGGTACCACCAGGCGCTCTAAGACGGCGAGGACGTGGACTTCGACTCGCAGGGCATTCCAAGACCACGCGACGACGACGTGGACTTCCCCGTCAGCGACTGGTCGGCGGAGCAGCGAGAGGAGGAGTATTCCAGGAGACGCCTGCGCGCCTATAACCAGGACGCCTATACGATAGAACCACCGCCAGGGATACCTTGGGGACGCCGACCAGGGAGCAACAGGCCGCAGTGGCGGCCGTGCTGGCACCGACTCGGCTGTAGGAGACCCGCGGCGCGAGCGATCGTCGGAGCAAGAAGGGATGGCCTTCGCCATCGCCATCGCCATCCGTCACCGTCGTCCTCACCAAAGTCCCCACCAACTCATGACCACCTTCACCAATATATCATCATCACCACATCCAGCACCATCAACATTACCATCACCATCACCTCCGTCACCACCATCATCACCAGCATCATTAAGTATCATTTTCCTCGTCACCACCACCAGCAACAACAATCAACCGTATAACCATCATAAGTCTAGTATTGCCACGACTTATCATCTGAATTAAGCATCATCACCATCATCATAATTACTCAAACATCATCTTCACTATCATCATCCCCACCGCCTGCATCAACACCGCCATCGCCATCGCCACCGTCATCACCACCACCGCTACCGCCACCATCACCATCATCAGCCCAAGCCTGCTCTTGAGGCCCCAACATTTTGCGCGGGGCCGCTGACGGCCCCGCGGCGGCCACGCAGCCGACGCCGCCCCGCCGCCCGATGGGTGAGGGGAGTTTACAGTATGAGCACGCGCGCGATGGGGCGGGCGCGGGCTTTTTTCCTTTCCGAACCACGAATAGCTGCAGACAGCCAAGCATGTGTCTGCGTATGTGGTTATATACATATATATATATATATATGTATACATACATTCCTCCTCCTTCTCTTCTGAATATTAGTATGATCAGTATTGTTGGTATTAGTAATAGCAAACTCATTGCCAGTACCACTGTGATTTTATTATGAGTATTCGTATTAGTGGTATCAGTACCATTCGTTTCGCATTTTCGTTTTATGTTTAGAGTACTAATATGAGCGTTCGCACTAGCATTCTTATTCTCATTCTAGCATTACTATGAGCATTCGAATTAGTAGTATTAGTCGCACGTGTTTTTTCGAACTACGTCTGTTAGTAGTAAAATGTTGGTTCGCCGTTTTCTAGTGACAAGTCAGTACTATGTTTTTATGTAAGGCATTCGCTATATATTATGAGATTCGACGCTACTATTCCCATTGTAAATGATCGAATTGTTATTCAATTCTTATTGACTTGAATCTACGGTTCTACGTGTTATCAATACGTGTCTTGGCGTTCCTCCTCCTCCTTCCCTCCTCCTCCTCCTCCTCGTCCTCCTCCTCCTCATCCTTATCCCCCCCCCCATCCCTCCCTCCTCCTCCTCCTCGCCCCCTCCCTCCCTGAGCTGCGCCGCGGCCGCCCGGGCTCGCAGACGCAGCGTTTTACTGCGCGCCCGGAGGGCCCGAGCGCGCCAGCCGCGCCCGGCGCGGGGCCGGTGCGCCAGCCATGAGTGATGAAACAAAGGGCGGCGGGGCAGCTGAGGCCGCGGCCGCAGCGGCGGCCGAAATGAAAGAGATGCATCTAAGCAACGAGCTCAGGGCCCGATGCGCGGCGCGAAGCAAAGGATTCCAGTGCGATTGTTGGGGCCGCACCCCGCTGACAGGGTCGGCGCGTTCCCAAATTGTAGCGGAGTGCGTTCGCTGGCGTGCGAGATCATCTGCGTCGGGCCCCGCCAGGCGGAAGCCGACTTCGAGGGGGTGTGCGTCAGGGACTTTCCCGTGGAGAAGCAGAGGGGCATGGCGGGGTACACTTCGTTCGCGCAGAACTGCAAGGACGAGGCCAAAGGGCGCCTTAAGGAAATATTATGCCGCAGTGGCGGCGAAGCTCTCTACGGCACGCTTTCGCACTCGCATTTGGCAATCATTCTGCGGGCCATCGACGCGGGGGCAAAGTGGGAGATCCCTGCAGACGACCTGACCCCTGCGCAGGTGGCGATGCTGCAGCCCATGTGCGAGGTCGGCACAGGCTTGCCGATGATGCCCGCAGCGGCGGGCAATGACCCTGCGGCGCAGAAGCTCGTGAAGGAGGGGATGCTCTACGAGGTGCCGGGCCCTGATGTCATGCTTGGCGAACAGAACTGCTCCATCATGGCCCAGGCCATTAGTCGGCCACAGGCGTTCTCCATGCGGATGTCGGAGCTGGAGGCGATGAAAGTATTCTCCTCAGAGATCAAGAACGCAAAGGCGGACGGCAGCGACGCGATCACCTACGAGAGCGCGATGCAGGCGGCAGGCGCCCGACTGTGGAGCCCCCCCCCCGACCTCCCTTTCTGCGACTTCTTCAACTTCATCCTGAACCTGGGCGCCGATGGAGGCCCTCACATACGGGAACTCATCGACATCGTCGAGACGTACGTCAATTCTGCTACGGGAATGTCGCGCCTGCCTGCGTTCGGCCTCGTGGGGGAGGTGAGCGCGCAGTTCCCCCGCGCGAAGGTGGCCGTCATCGCGCGGGCCTGCAGGTTGCCGCCCAAGAAGGCTTCCAAACAGACGGGGGCGCCAGGCTGGCGCATCGAGCCCGAACTTGCGTGGAAGCAGCGAACCCTGGAGCCGCTGTTGCGGCTCATGGAGGGTGTTCTCCACGCGCGCCACGCGGCCCTGAGAACCGAAATCGCGAAGCACCTGGACAACGGCGCCTCGGTGGTGGTTCAGTTTCTGACCAACGTTAACATCCAGCGCGCCAGCGCCATGGCTGTCGCGGTCAAGGGGGCCAACCCCTCGACGGCGAAGGCCCGCGAGGCGCTCTTGCAGGGGCGCAAGGCGGCGTACGCGAACGCCCTACCGACAGAGAAAGCTGCCGCGCTCATGGCGACCTTCCAGGCACAGGAGGACTGGAATTGGTTCGATTTTGCAACGCTGCCGCCCGAAGAAATGACAACGGCTCAGGAAAAGGGGGGCGGGCCCGCCGCGCAGCCCGCGGCGATCGCGTCCAGCGCGATCACTGGGCGCCCCGAGAACGAACAGGCCACCGTTAAGAAGGGGGAGAGGCCAGCAATGTGGTTTCTACTGCCAGTCACGGAGTGGTTGGCCCAGGCAGCCGCCAGGGACATGGGCAAGAGGGTGGCCTACATGGGGGCGGTGCTGCAGGTGCTACGGGAGAAGCACTTGGCGCTCTGTTCGCGCGTTGAACAGGGCACATGATCGAACCTACCTGTGGCCCTGAGCCGCCACACAACGAGCAACAAAGTGAAAGTGTGCACCAAAGCCGCAGTGGCGGCTGGCAAACTCGCGTTGTGGCCATGTGCCGAAGCAGAACAAAGCGTGGGATGCGAGCAGACGCAAAGACAAGGTTCACGTGGAAGTGTGGGCCAAGAACCCAGAAGAGCCTGTGAAGACTTCGTTCTACATGCATCCAGAGTTTGCCGCGCCCGGCAGCAAGACGCCCTACGACGTGGAGGAGACGGACCCCGCTCAACGAGAGTGGAAGTGGGCGGGCAAGGATTCCATGCACCCCTTCTGGAGCGCGACGAAGCTCACGGCCGAAGAGCTTGGGGCGCGAAGCGTCGCTGAAGCAGGGGCGGGGCGAGCGCGTTTTAACGTGGAGCTCGCGCCGAAGGAAGTGAACATAGCCATCTGCGGTCGGGCCATCTGCGTCCGAATCCCAGTGGCGACCAACGCCGTGGATCTCCAGGCGGGCGAGGAACTGATCATGGAATACACGCATGTGAAGAGGAAGAAGGAAGCGGCCCCGACCGACCGGTGGAAAGCCGCGAAGAAGGCCAGAGCGAAGCCGAGGAGCCAGCCGCAGCAGCACAAAACCGCTTTCGACGAAAATGGCCGCCAGGACATCTGAAGCGGAGGGCGCAGTGGCGCGCGTGCTCCGATGGTCGCAGCGGCGCCCGCGCAGTGGCGCCCATGCCCCGACGCGGACGGGGGCGCAGGCACGGCGGCGAGAACAGTGAGGAGCGCGGGCGTGCTGAAGTGGGGGGAGCGCCCCCCCTTTCCTCTCTCCTCCCTCCTCCATCCTCCCTCCAGCCCCCCTCGGGAGACCCCCCCGGCCCCGGATCCTGCGCCGGCTGCGGCAGCCGGCGCAGGATCCGGGGCCGGGGGGGTCTCCCGATGGGGGGGGGGGGGGCGCCAGAGGCTTCGAGGGCGCTGGGGTGGGGAGGCGGAGGATGGGGGGGGAGAGGAGGAGGAGGGGGGAGGGGGGAGGGAGGAGAGAGGAAAGAGGAGAGAGGAAAGAGGAGGGAGGAGGAGGAGGAGGAGGAGGAAGATGAGGGCGGGTTGGAGGAGGAGGAGGGGGGATGTCGGACGAGCAGCGCGGGGACATGATCGGAGGGAGGGGTGGCGGGCAGCGCCGCGTGGCAGGATGGGGGGCTGGAGAGCGATGCTGCGCGGTGCCGCCGCAGCGTATCGGTTCCAGCGCAGACGCTCGCCCCCTTCGGCTCCGCCTGCGCGGCGGGCGACGCAGCGGCGTCCATGGGGAAGTCGAAGACCGCGCGTGCTTCCCCCCAGTGGGAACCCGCGCAGCTGGGCGAACGATTCTCTGTCTGGGGCGGTCGGTTGACAGAGCCGCGCGCGCTCTTGGAGACCGAGGAGATCTCTACCATCGCAGGGCGCGTGAAGTTCGTCGACTTTTCTGTGGGCCTGCCGTGGGTAGTCCATGCGCTCGGCTACGCGCTCAGGAATTCAAACGGGGCTTCTGTGCAGGGGCGCGCGTGGAAGGATATCGCGGACGCGTTCAAGGCCCAAGCGCGAGCCGAGGGCGCCGCAGCGGCGGCTGGCGAGGACGACAAGGGGGAGACGCCGTGGACGCCATGACCTGCCCGATCCCGCGGCGGCAGATGCCGCAGCGGCAGCGAAAAAGAAGCAAATGGTGTTGGGGCGCATCGTTGTTTGTTCCGTGCGTTAGAAGCGCCCGCGCGAGTTCCCCGATATGACGGACGAGAGGGAGGCGCGCCTGATCTCGTTCAAGAAGAACGAGCACTGGATCCGCGAGGCGGACGTGCCCTGGCTCTTCGAGCGGCTCAGGTTCGAGCGCGATCTGGCGGGGGTCCCGCTGGTTCAGAACCCAGACGAAGACTACGCCGCAGTGGCGGCTGTCGCTAGCGGGACGGACTCGCAAGACAGCCTGCCCTCTGGAGAGAGCGCGGGCTCACAGACACCGACAAACGCCGCCAGTCCACCAGTTCCTGTGGACCAGGCGGTCAGTGCCCAGGACACCGTGCACGCTGGCTACACGCGCCGATGGCTGTTCCCCACCAAGGAATGCAAGGGCGCGTGGGAGGGAACGGTCACGCGCGCAGGGGACTTGCGCGGGAAGGTTGTCGCGTGCCAGCTGGCCACTTTCACCCGCGCGAAGTGGTCACAAGTCTACAGTGGTGGCGAGCCTCCCTGCGCGCGGCACGGGGCCAGTCTGCAGAAGAAGGAGGCCTGCAGGCTCGACCTGGAAGCGCACATGGCCGCGTTGATGCAGAAACTTCCTGCAGCCTAAAGCCGCAGTGCCGGCTCCTCTCGGTGCCTAACCATTGCCCCGCGGCGGGGGCCGCGCTCGCCTCGGGGCTTCCACGGGCGAATCGCGGCGGCGCAGGCGCCAGTGCCAGCGAGACTCATTCACGAAGTGAAGCCTTGACGGTCCGTGAGGAAAACACAGCCCCTGCGCCCGCCCCCCCCCCCCCCCCTCTTGCTTCTCGCCTGCTTCTCCGCCTGCTCCTCTGCAGCCCGTGGTCTTGCCCCCCAGTGCCCTCCGCAGTGCGCCTCTTCCTGCCTGTTCGTCCGCGACGCCCTTCTCGCATCGAAGGGCTGCTCCAAGGGGCGGCGGCGCGCGCGCAGGGGGCCTGCGCGAGCGATGCCTGCCAAACGCCCGCCAGATGGCACACGCGGGCGCACGTGCCGCAGCCCAGGCGTGCGATGCATGGCGTGGGCGCGTTCACGGGAGAGAACTTCGAGTGCGAGTGGGTGAAGAACCCCGAGACGCAATCCTTTCCGCGTGTGACGCAGTACGGCAAGACAGGGATGGTAAACATCTGTCGCCGCAGTGGCGGCGCCGAGGTGCTTGTGGGTTTGTTGAAGGCGCGCTGCTGCTTGCGCGAACCGTGCCAAGCAGACTGGCCAGCGACCCAGTTTGGCATCGCCCCCCCCCCCCCCCTCCCCCCACGCATCTCCGACCGACAGATTGGCGCCCACCAGGGGCAACTGCCCCTGAGCAAGAGGCGCAGCCAGCGCCAGCTGCCGCTGCGCTTGGGCCAGCAGAGCCAGCAGCGCCGCAGCCGGGGACGGCGGCTCCGCCTCTGCCACCCCCAAAGGAAGCGCCCCCGCCAGAGCTACCGCCAGGGGGGGGGGGCCCCCCGCCACACGCATGCGAGGTAGCGCCAGCGCCAGCGCCGCCAACGCCAGATGAGCCAGCGCCAAGGCCGCCAACGCCAGAGCCAAACCCCGAGGAGCCAAAGCCTGAGGAGGCAGAGCCAGGGGTGGTAGGGGGGGGCAGAGGAGGCAGAGGAGGTAGAGGAGGCAAAGGAGGCAGAGGAGGCATAACCAGAGCCTCAGGAGGCCAAAGAGGCAGAGGAAGCGGAGTCTGAGGGGGTCCGCAGCCCCCCGCCCACGCCGCCAGCCACAGGGGCTCCTGCTGTACAGTTGGCTGCAGTGGCGAGCCCCCTGCGCCCGCCGCCCGAAGAGCCCGCGCCCGCCCCTCTGCGACGTCGAGCTGCGGCCCGCCCCTTGGCCAAGGGACAGGGTGGGCTCTTCGAATGCGGCTTTCAGTGCAACGATCCCCCCTCAGCTGGCTTCGGCCTTGGGTCGAGCGGGCCCGCCGCCGCGGAGGCGGCGGGCGCGGGCGCGGAGGCATTGGGGCCGGGCCCCAACCGAGCGCTGACAGGGCGCCGACAGGGCACCGCTCAGGGCCGCAGTGGCGGCCTCGACAGGGCACCGCTCAGCGCCGCATTGGCTGCCGCTGTGCCGCTCGAAATGCTGGGTCTGGCTCGGGAGATCCTCGCGAGCGGCAAGTACGTCGGGCACTCCGCCTTCGTGCTCTTTGGCCTGCGCTACAACGTTCGCCCACTGATGTGGGAGGGGGGGGACCTCATATACCTCCTTGCCGTCTACGCCCCCTGGGCGCTGGAGACCTGTTGCACGCCCTGCGCCGTGGAGGGCGTGGCGCGCGTGCTCCGACCAGGCGCGACGTGGTCTGCAGTTGCGGATCTTCTGCCCGTGGGCGATCTGAAGGATGCCTTGGGCCAGCCAGTCAATTGCCTCCAGAACGTCAATCACTGGGCGGCGGCCGTGATCAGTGGCGGGGGTCACGAGGGCGCAGAGGCGGCCGACGAGATGAACAAGTTCCACCAACATCGGGCGCGCTTCGTGCTCGGAACTGTCTGAGATGGCGACTGCGGCGTTGACGTCATGGCGCAGGTGCTGGAGCTGCCCCAGAACGCGGAAACCCGTGCCCGCATCCGCAGGGAGCTAGCTCTACGAGGACGTCATGAGTCGGTACAAGGAGCCCTGGCTGCACGACATGTTGGTGCTCACTCGGGAGCTCGCAGCGGAGCAGGTGCAGAAGTTTCGGGAGTCCGAAGGCGACCGCGACGACTTTTGCTTCGAAGATTCTGGTGGCGGAGGGTCACGGGCAGGAGGGCCAGGCGGGGCAGGAGAGGGGGGCGTTTCTCAGACCGCAGCGGCGGTCACCTACCCGCCTCTGCACGAGAAGGTCCTTGGTATTTTGGAGGCGCTGCAGTGGTCCTGCGGGGTCAGCGACGTCGGCGTGGTGATGTCCATCGCCGACAGGCTGCCCATCCCCGTGCAGGAAGAACAGGTGGCCGCGCACAAGGAGAGCCAACTGGCCCCCAAGAAGCCCGAGCACGGCGCACGAGTGAGGCGGCGCATCAACCCGCGCATGATCCAGGACCGCGACATAGTGTGCAAGGCGTACACGCAGCACCTGCAGGAGAGCGGGTGGGGCGGCAAGGGCAAATCTTCATGTCGCGGGAGACGTTCTTGGCCAAATTTGCATGGCCCAAGGGGTGGCATTCGACCAAGCAGTCGTGCACCTTGTCTAACTGGTTTACAAACTGGAAGAAGCGATCCGGCGGCGGAGATGAAGATGTCAAGGGTAAAGACTCCAGGGGGCGCCGCAGTGGCGGCGGATGGGGCGAAGTGCCCCTGGTTGTCGAGCGCCCCCTGCGAGTGGTGGTCCCACATGCGCTACGCCGTGGACTGGGAGCGCGCCGCTGCTGGAGTTCCACAGGAGCAACGACAGGGGAATATCGCCAGGTGCACGCAGGCCCCCTCGTCTCTTCGCCCACCTCCCCGTCCTCCTCCTTCTCTTCCTCTGATTCCTCTGTGTCCTCCAAGTCCAGTTATTCTCTTTCCTCCCCCGCAGGCCCTGCTGGTCACCAAGGCCAAGGACCTGCTCACGACGTACTGCTCGGAGGCACTGGTGCGGGGGATCAGGCCTGCGGGGCCGCAGTTGCGGCCCAGGTGGTTCAAGAGGTGGCGGGAAGACTACGGGCCGAGCATGCGCAAGCCCAATCGCAAGGGCAACGTCTCGAAGCGGCTGCCCGCCTCGCGCTGCGAGACCATGATGCTGAACGCCGCGAGGGCGAGGACCGCGGCAGGGGAACTGCTCGGGCGCGACCCGCACATCCTCAACTGGGACCAGAACCCGTTCCACCACAACGACTCGGGGACGGCGTCCACGAAGACCCTGGCCGTCATGGGGCCCATCGTTCCGCTGATCGAGGGACGCTACGACAGCAGGGCCAGGTGGGCCGCAAACCTGTGCGTCTCCTCGGACGCGCAGGGCTTGCAAGAGAACGGGCCGCCCCCAGCAGAGTTCATGTTCAGGGGGTGACAACATCAAGGCCACCCTGGAGGCCCACGTCCGCAGTAAAAGGATACGGCGCCTGGGTGTCCGTGTCGACTTCCGAGAAGGGCTCCTGCCGACTCGAGGACGTGGTGGCATTTTTGCAGAAGCACCTGCAGGATCCGTCATGATCACCGCAGTGGCGGTGGCGCATCCTGATGGCAGACGGCCACAGTCCGCGCAGTAGCAGCGGTCATGGGGCCAGCTGGGCCAGGCTGCAGAAGCGCGATTTACGATTTTGAACCACATCTAATGAACTTGACAGCGTTTGGGTTGAACCATAGAGAACAGACAAACTACCTCGCAACGGCAATGGGTTTGGTGTAAAATCGGGACAACATCGATTGCGTCCAACGCGAATCGGACGAAACCGATGGAAACTCGCATACATGAGCCACGTCCTCAGGAAGGGCCCATAAATCGGAACCAAAACGCGTGAACATGTTTAAGGTGTTCGTAACGCTTTGCGAAACTACCACAATGAGCAACATCGCTGGCGACGGTGCCTGATTCCAAACACGCCCGCACGCACTTGAATGTGATTCGGGCGTAACCACTGCCGCGCCCCAGCGAAGAACCACACCCATCGCGCCGATAGGCAAATCGCATCATCATCATACGCCCTGGTGGGCGGAGTGAGCGAACCACAATGCACCGTAACTGCTGGCGACATATTCATTCACCATGCCAACCAGCAAAGGCGGTCGCAACCATTCTCGAAGTACCACAAGCATGCGCCCCCTCCCCAAACAAGAAACAACAGGGGAGGAGGACCAGAAGAGGACGCGGAGGCTAAGGACGGGAGGCAGAGAAGGAAGAGGAGGAGGAGGGGGAGGAGGACGGTAGGACCAGGAGGAGGAGGATAAGGAGGAGGAGGAGGATGCCTCCTCCTCTTCACACCTCGTTGCCTGACATCCCTTGGTTGCTCTTCTCATCTTCCCGTGGCTCTGGCCGCGGGCTAGCT